CTTATCATTCAATTCAGATTTTGTACTGGTCCTCCGCTGACCATGCTCAAGATCGATGTAATTAATTTGGTATTCTTTTGTTCTGTCCTTACTTCCTCTCACCCCGAAGCTTCTAAGCCGTCGCACCTCATCTCACTACATAATTTCCGCTTCTGCTCATCTATTCTATCAACCACCAACCCCCCCTCTCCATAATATTTTTTGATGTTCTCATCTATAACATATACCCTATCTCTAGCGGGGGGGGTTACTCCCGTCTCTTCGGTGCCGAGAGGGTCCGCCAGCCCCTGTGGTGTTGTTTTTTCCTTTCCCCCCTAGCTAGCCCCCGGTCTCCCCGGACAATAACCCGACCAGGGGTTTTTTGGGGATTTTCTTTATTGGTGGGGCAGGTGGGTCCTAACCATTCAGTTTAAACGCAGGAAGGGTTTCCCCCCCCCCCCCCCCCCCCCCCCTGCTCTTCCGTCGCATCGAGAACAGAGGAACACTGAAGTCAGAAGCATGTCGGTATGTGCTCGGGTTTCTGTTGCAGCAATGCCTGCCGCTGTGCCTCTCGGAAGCTCGTGGCCGATGACAGAATATCATCAGACTGGTCTACTTACGGAGCGACAGAGTGGATAGGCAGAAGTCTCTGGCCGGGGAACGGGGAAGGGAGCGGGGAGGGCGCCGGGCCAGTCGAAGTCTAGCCAGGAATTGGTCCAGTCCACCCAAAGACTTGGCCTCCGCACTGTATCTATTTCTGCTTCTTTGTCGGAACAGCTTTGTTCCCAAGACCAATACCTGAGAGGAAGGCTATTCTCATGATGGCACCGAAATAGACGAAGGGAACGTTACCCCAGTCAATGGCGTTCCAACCAGCGACGTTGTAATATATGCCTGGTCCCAGTGCTCGAACGGTGTAGAGATGGCCCAGGTCCGCCACGAGCAGGACGAAGAGAACGGCCGACCACACCTTGAGGTCGGCAGTGGCACGTAGGACGATCGCCTCGTTCAAGGCAAAAAATAGGTAGAGATTGGCAAGCTGGGACATGGCGATACCAGTACCAAGCGGAAGGGTCGAGGGGGCCGTCGCAGCGTGGGTAAGCTCAAGGTACACCTCCGGCTTGAAGTGGGCAAAGAAAGCCCCCACGAGGGCAGATATCGGCTCGATGACGAGGAAGAAAAGGCTGTAAGCAGGTGGGAGGTTAAACCCAGCGCTGACGGTCTTGGTTTTGGTTTGGCCTGCTTGCGGTGCCATGTTTTTGAATCGGTGTGGTATATCGGAGAAGGTTCGGTCAAGGACGTCGACTTGTGCAAGCTCGATCGGGCGGTCAATTCGGGACCACAGGAGCGTCGGGGAGTCCGCAAGGACCTCAGAACACAGGAAGAAAAGGTTGGACAATTTGGCGGGGTTGTTGTTGTTGAAGTACTGGGAAGTTCGGTTCTCTGGCACACGGAGGACTGTGGCATCATTGTGAACCCTGATGGGCAAACGCCTGGAGAAACTCTGCTTCCGTGCCGCACTGTTTCTCCTGGTGGACCATAGTGACACGTCCATTGGACGGTCCCGCCAGACCCACGCTGAATGAGAGGAATGACGATCTGATCCACTAGATCACATTAGTTTGCAGGATCTCAGAAAATACAGCCTCGCATGCTATTGACGCGAGGGTGTCCCACGTTCGATACGATCTGATCTTGCAAGGGTGGGCTGGGGCATCATTCTTCGCCTGGAGAGGAGATCTGGCATCGCGATGATTATGGAACTTGGGGCACTTGGCATGGAGGCCCAGGGGGGGTTGATGTGCCTGATTACGACCGCGACACCTGTTGCACGCAAGTTGAGACAATGTCACCAACCACAATCAAATCAATGCACAGAGAAATAGCGGTGCCATAAACAATATCGCGCAATAATATCGCGCCAAGTCGATTCCGTAGCCCACCACGGTATCTTTCTTGATCGATACTTGGCCCAAAGTGATGGGCGGCTTCAAGTACCTACATTCTCAAGTAAGGTGCCTACCTACAAAGGCATTTCGTTTTGGCGGCACGGGCAGCTTCATAGTACGTATGGATCAGGCTGATGAAAAACAGAAGGGGTACAGGTACAGGCGAATGATCGGTAAAAGCCTGTTTTGTGGGTGCAACTGCCGTCGCACATCACTTCTTACTTAAGCCTCGGGTGCATCAGGGTCTTTTTGACCCTGGCCTTCAAGACACCAATGAATGGTGGCGAAGGGCGGTGAGCACCTGAGTGGATGCGTGTCGGCGGTATCAAAGCATAAAATTTTGGAATAGAGCGTTGCTTCAGGTACAGTCAGGCACTGCAGCTTGGTGATCATCCTATTTCATAAGCATGTGGTGTCGTCGTGTTGTATTTGTGCCCAGGTTCGGCATGGTGCTTGCTGTCAGTGGTCCCAAGAGGTTGGTCTAGGTGCATGTTGACATGCGGCTGGGCAGGCACCTCAATCAATGTACACCACCACCATGGGTAAACTCAATGCAGGGCCACAGAACCCTGCATTGTCTCCTCCCATTCAACTGTGTTGGACATTCTGCCCAGGAAGGTGACATATAATAGGACAACCGAACTTGGGGTTTGCTTTCTTCTCTCCCTCATTCTTTTGACTGCGTTCGTGCCAATTTCCGGATCCTCATTGGACGGCGGCGCCATCATACCCTTTGTTGTTTCGCCTGGAACCCTGAAGAGACGCCGACACGTGCCGGTGCCTCGTGTCATGCCAGGCATTGCTCCTTACCTCCCCTCCCTTGGACTCGCCTGATCCGCCGACACGCCGCTGAACCTGTGTCACCGAGCGAAGAATGGGTTATGGCGCATGTAGGGCATCTTCTTGAACATCGGAACCTCGCTCAGACGAACATCATATCCACCGACCGAAACTACTTCCACTTGCAGAACCTTTCACCTCACCCACCACACCCGCTGAGGTCTATTGTGCCAGTCACACTGCGAGAACCGCCACCAGCAGAGCAAGCGAAGTGGTTCGAAACCACAGACACTTGACTCGCGGCGTCCGCCGCACGTACAGCACTCGTCTGACTGGTCAGCGAATTGCTGATCGCTGCCGTTTTCTTCCTGCCGTCCTGGCCTCCCGCGTTGTCTTGGAGGCCAAGACGCACTGGCCGAACTCAACTAGTTGCATTGGATCCAAACATCGGCCTGGCGCCATTGCCTTCCCCTTACCATCAACAGGTGGCCGAAGATTTTTCTTTGCCCCTTCTGGCGACTCCGAACCATCGTTGACAAAGGATCAAGCCGGCCCTAGACCAACGGTTACGAGGCTAGAAGACACGCAGCCACTCAAAGAAGCCGCTGGTCGCCATCAACCCACTCCCAACTCAACAACTGGCTTGCCAACCTGAAATCCCCTTGGTGAGTTGTACCTCCCTGAGCCCCTGTGTCTGCACCCCGAGAACCCCAGGCGGAGCCTACCGCCTGGCCCCACTGGCCGCCACCCTGCATTGGTAGTACATTTCGCGGTAGTTCCGAGACAGTCCCGTCTTGAACCTCCCCCCAAAAGGAAGAAAAAAGGAGAGGCGTCGGCCAAAGACGAGACGCTCATAAACGGAGCATTCCTCCAACACCCAACTAATGTCTCCCACCAGATTGCCGATCTTGCGACTCGACCTACATTCTTTTTGAACGCGACGCCCGACCTGTCAGCGACAGGGTCTACCGACTTTCCTCCTCCGTCCCTCCATCATCATACCTGTCCAGTCCCGAAGGTCTACAATTCGTTTCAAGTCGTTGTATCGCAACCTTTTTTTGATCGGCAACCTGGAAACAACATGTCGAGACGAGTTATCCCTGTGGCGGAGTGGGCGCCTGTTCAGGAGGCCATATTCGACGAGCCCGCAGGCGAGGCTTCGACATCCTCTTCGATCACAGCGGTCGACTTTCCTCCACGCGAGCCCGTTGCCGCCGCCTACAACAAGGACCGCCTCCGGAGCAAAAGCCATTCTTACTCTCTTTTCTCGCGACGTCGTCCCCAGTCCATGTTTGGACTTCCTCTCTCCTCGCCCAAGTCTGACGGCACCGAACTTGGTCTCAACATACAGGGCTTAGCAGTTGATGGTTCATCCTCGGTACCAACCCAGTCGCGAGCCAAACATGGCCACAGTCAAAGCGTCGCCGCCGGTACAAGGACAAGGCAGGCTGCTGGCGAAGACGGCAGCATCAAGAGCATCATTCGCAGGGCTTCCATATCGCTGAGAGGAATGGTCAATCACAGGCAGAGGCACTCGATAGCATACCCGACTCCTGCCGACGCCTTTGATCAACAGACATCTGACAGCCCCGTTGCTAGCCCAAGCACCATTCCTCGTCCCGGGACTTCTCACTCTGTTTGGGGCCGTCGTCTGCGCCAGGCTGCCAGTTTCCGCCATCATAGGACGTCTCACGGCGCCGTCGATGGCGAGCAACCCAGATTCGACCACACGTTTCCCTCGCTTCCTTTGCCCGGCACCGGTACCGAGCCTCCCATCATTCCTCGCCATACAGGCGCAGCCGCTAAAGCCGCTGCTGCCGCCCAAAACGAGTCGTTGGGGCTTGGACGACCATCGACTAGCCAGCAACCTCGCCAAAACAAGTGGCTACGTGCGTTCAGCACCGGCGAAGACGCCGGGAACGATCGCGAGAGCGGTATCGGCATTACAGTGACAGCCGCCGACTCAGACACCGAGTTGGCAGTGGAAGACGCGGACTTGAAGGAAGATGCCAATATTAGTCGCATCGACTTCGTCTCAAGCCTGCCAGTCGAACTCTCTATTCAGATACTCTCCTATCTCCATGGCTCTGCACTCGCCAATGCCACGGTCGTGTCCCACCACTGGCATGAGGTTGTTTCAAATCAACACGTGTGGCGCGATGCTTTCTTGCGGGCAAAAACGGGCACCTATGCGACAACCAATGCAGTGCAGCCAGGATGCGGCTATGGTGTTCCTCCCATTCAACCTTGTGTAGACTGGAAAGAGGTCTATCGCGTCAGGGAACAGCTGGACCGTAGCTGGCGCGATGGACAGGCTAAGCCAGTGTACCTGAACGGTCATTCAGATAGCATCTATTGCCTTCAGTTTGACGAGTAAGTGGCCGGCCCCCAAGATTCATGCCTTTTCTATGCACTTCGCTAACATGTTGACAGATCGAAGATCATCACAGGATCTCGTGACCGGACGATTCGAATCTGGGATATGCAGTCACTACAGTGCCGCCTCGTCATCGGCCCCCCCGATGTGGTGAACGACGTTTCGCTGCTTCTCGATGCCGAGGGTCAACCAACCCATCATGCTGTCCACCCAGATGGCACCCGCGCCAGCCCATCCATGCCAGCCGTCACATCCTTCCCTCTGCATCACGAAGCCTCGATCCTGTGCCTGCAATACGACAACGAAATTCTCGTCACCGGATCTTCCGACTCGTCATGCATTGTTTACTCAGTTCAAGACGGTTACCGTCCAATCCGTCGTCTCCAACACCATGGTGCCGCCGTTTTGGACCTTGCGTTTGACGATCGCCACATTGTCACTTGCTCGAAAGACGTCTCCATTTGTGTCTGGGATCGACACACTGGTGCTCTGCTCCGACAGCTGCGCGGCCACGCTGGTCCCGTGAACGCTGTTCAGCTCAGGGGTAACACCATTGTGAGCTGCAGCGGTGATTTCCGTGTCAAGCTGTGGAACGTCGATACGGGCAAGAACATCCGGGAGTTTGTCGGGCACACCAAAGGCCTGGCCTGCAGCCAGTTTACTGAGGACGGCCGCTTTGTCGCTTCTGCAGGCAACGACAAAATCATTCGCATCTGGGATGCGAATACGGGAGAGTGCGTTCGAGAGATCAAGGCCCACGATAATCTCGTACGCAGTCTCCACATTGACTCTGTCAGCGGTCGTTTGATCAGCGGAAGTTATGACCAGGACATCAAGGTGTTCGACATGGCGACAGGGCGTCAACTGCTGGATTTCCCTAAGTGGCATGCCAGCTGGGTACTCAGTGCCAAGAGCGACTATCGTCGTATCGTCAGCACTGGTCAAGACCCCAAAATTCTCATCATGGACTTTGGTGCCAATGTCCAAGGCATTGAGATGCTCAACAGTGCCCGTGCTGTTGAGGTCGAGGGGGAATACATCTGAGGCAACAAGCCTTGCCGACTTGGGCGTTGATTGTGCATATGAAAGCGTTTTGACTGTTTTGTTTTGGCATGATTGGCATTGATTTTATTTCTTTCTGTTTCATGTCGGAAACAATGTCAGTGTGGAAGTCTCAGGGTACATTTAGGATATCGTGGCGTTACGTTCTTTGTCGCGAGGGAAGTTTTGCTGAACGCATAGCATTTGTGGCATTGGGATTCAGGAGCAGTGCGTCGCTCGAAGACGTCAGAAAGAAGGCGTCAGATTTAGAAGACAGGTTCCCTGCCGTCACGAACTTGGAAGAAGAGGTCACTCGCTTTGCATTGCGAGTACATGCATAGGAGACATGGCTAGATAGACTACCACATCATCGGTCCTATAGACCTGCCAAGAATGACCATGATTTAGAAGATTTGTATTCATGTTACGTGGTTTCAACCTGACCTCGGCCTGCAAGGATACAACCATGTTCGTATCCGCTACGGGAGGTGCAGGGAGTATGACTTCCGCTGAAGCAGGCCACTGAATTAGGCGCGCGGTCATACGTGAGGGCACGTATCGCCGCCATCGTGCCGCGAAAAGACCGGCTGCTACCCACCC